AGGACTTAGGGTTTAGGGTTTAGGACTTAGTAAGTCTACTTAGTATCCCCCAGGAGCCCTATTATAATCCCCATAACCCACCTTACTAACCCTACTTACTAAGTCAAAAGGGCCTCCAAGTAGGGTTTAGGGTTTAGGGTCTAGGGTTTAGGGTTTGGGGTTTAGGGCTTACGGTTTAGGGTTTAGGGTTTAGGGTTCATCATGAGATTCTTCGATGTCAGTATTGCATGACACGTGCATGCTCTTGTTGCAGCTATTACTGCTTCCTCAAGCTACCATAACCTCTTCTTTCTACGGCTATGGCTTATGGCTTATGAATCTAGGGCCTAGGCCCTACACCCCAAGCTCTGAACCTTTAAACCAAACCCTAAACCCCTAAACCCTAAACCCCTATATAAACCCTAAACCTCCACCAAACCCCGAAAACCCCTAAACCCTAAACCCCCCCAAACCCCCAAAACCTTAAACCCCTAGACCCCCCTAAACCCCGAAAACCCTAAACCTCTAGTCTTTGATTCCCTAAAACCCTACCCTAAACCTCTAGTCTTTGAGTCCCCGAAAACCCTAAACCTCGAGTCGTTGAGTCTTTATCGGCGTTCAAGCTCTCCGCCTGCAGCGACTCTGCACCCTCGGCTTGCCGGGAGGGCTTCACCTTGGCTTGAGGATTTCAGGCTCAAGGTTTTCGTAAGGTTTAGGGTTTGGGGGCTAGGGTTTAGGGTTTAGGGGTTTAAGGGTTTAGGGTTTAGGGAACTGCGACAACTGGAAACGAAATTCTTCAGGCTCCTCTGCCAAGCTCACTCCACCCTGGGTCCGGGAAGCATGCACATTACACCTTCCTACACCTTAAGCCCTAAATCCAGGCCTTGGTTAGGGTTTAGGGTTTAGGGTCCCTCCTTGGTTGAGCCCCGAATTGCTTGCAGACCGGGCTGCATACACTGGCCACGTTTCCACATTGTCCGGTAGTGTCACCTCCAGCTTATGGGGGCTCGGGGCCTTCCAGAAAGGGATCCTTACAAAAGTCCTGTCACACTACGCGTTCAGGGTTGAGGGCTTAACACCACGGTATATACAGACCTAAGTTAGCCAAAAAAGGATGGAAAGTTCCGTACTATGAGCGTAGCATGGAACCTTAAGTAATGCCTCGTCCCTTACTTCGGCCCCGGTCTAGGGTTTGAGGGCTTGCGATTCAGAGTTTACGGCTCAGAGCGCTTAATGGAGTCCCAAAATTGCTACGGGTTTACGGTTTAGGGTTTAGGGTTTAGGGATTTGGGTTTAGGAGTTTTGGGGCTTGTCGGTTGTAGGTTTTGTGGTGGGCTTTGGGTGGTTTGAGTTCGGGGTGTAGGACATATTTCAAATCGCAACTGCTGTAGGTCTGGCCTTGTGCATTCCGGACTGGGGCTTTGTTGCTTGGTTCGTTCCTTCTGCTGGGTTAGACAGGATTCCTGTTCAGGCAGCGGGGTCCCCTGAACCCTAAACCCAAAACAAGGCCAGGGTTTAGACTTGACTGCTGGCTCTCCTAAACCCTAGACCGTGGAACCAAAGCCCTAAATCAACCGTAAACCCACGACCCTAAATGATCCTTAAACCCTGAAATCAAAAATGCAGGATCCTCTGTATCTTCTTGGCTCCTAGATTTTCGCACGGTTGGTAGACTTGAGGGCGGCCTGGGGTTTCCTTACGAGCCTTTATTTGGTGCGCAGATGTATGTATAGATAGATGTACGTATGTATCTAACTGTAGGTAACTGTATGCATGCATGCATGGATGGACGGACGGAGGGATGGATGGATGTAGGCAGTGAGGCAGGCGGCAAGAGGGGAGGGAGCAACCCGTTCTTTTCGTCTTTCGGACTCTCTGGGACAAGCCACGCGCCACTGGCGCCGAAGTTCCATCAGCTCGGCAATCGGTCGGAATTCTTTCGCCTCATCATCGGGCTTAAGGGGGACCAGGGATTGTAGCGGTTTAAAAGACTTGGGGTCAAGGGTTTATAATGTAGGAGCCTTGATAATTAGAATAGAGTTTTGGGACCCAACATACTACAATTGTAATCAAGGAGCCCCAACAAATAGTATAGGTCATTCTTTAGACCCCTACATTAGTGTTCAGTGTTTGGCTAGCAAAGAAAGCATCGCCTCTTCCGGCGTAGGTCGAAAAGTCGCGGTACGGCAGTGGAGTACCGTGCGTTTGGGCCACCCCACACGTAGGGGCCGATCGCCCAAGGTTCGTCTATGGGTTCGGGTATAGGTTGTAGGTTTCTATTAGCGTTCCCCAGTTTCTGGCACTTCCCTATCAGAGGACCAGAGTACATTGTACAGAACTGCAGTCACAACAGGCTTGACTTGATCAGACTGCAATGTCCAATGTAGCACGATCATCTTAAAAACCCAAAATCCTGAAACCCCACCAAACCCTGCATACATTTCTTACCGACACGGTCTACTGAAGGACCCGAAAACATGCTGAAGCGCGAATCGCGAGCCAGATGGGCAGGGGCTTACTGCACCCTCCAGTGTAGTTATTTTGGCGTCTCTCCAACTGTCTTGTTTGGATAACCAATACCTACACCACCCCAGAAAGAACCAACTTAGGGATAGACTCAGCCACGAGTAAACCGGTGTTCATAGTGGAATGCCAACTGGCAGTTGAAAAGGACCCGTTGTTGTATTGCAGTCCAAGAGACAGTACTTCTAAACCCTAAACCCTGAACTCTGGGCCCTTAGCCCGACTTCTTAACCCTAACCCTCAACCCGAAACTTGAGCAGCACAGAGAAACTCTCCGAGCCCCCATACTCCCAATGACTCTGCAACTCCTTAACCTTGACCCCTCCACGAAGGCTGCAGGAAAAAGTCAGGGCCGCTTTGTTTAGGGTGTAGGGTGTAGGGTATAATATGGGTCCGTATGGGGATACCACCATGTAGGGCTCTGAACTCGGTCCCCCACACCCAATCTTCCTGACTATACCCCAAACCCTAAACCCCCCTAAGCCCCCTAAGCCCCCTAAGCCCTAATCTAGGAACCTAAATAACTACCTATTGTATTTTTTGGGGGGGCTCCTTGTTATAATTGTAGTATAATATACACCAAAAACCCTATTCTACTTATCAAGGCCTCTATGATTAAACCCCTAAAACCACTAAGCCCTAAGCCCTGAATCCTAAACCCTAAACCCCAAACCGTAAGCCCTCTAAACCCCTGAAACCCTGTAAGCACCGCACACCCTGCAGGCGAGGGTCGGGTGGCTGAAGCTTGAAAGGCTGCTGCCCCATGTTCACCGTCATGGCCCCCTTGTCTCCCGGTGACAGCAGCGCCTGAGGGATTCAGGGTTTAGGGATGGAGGTTTTGGGAGTTTGCAGGTTTAGGGTTTAAGGTTTTAGGACTCCGGGTTTCGAGTTTAAGGCTTTAGGGTTTAAGGTTTCAGGGTTCAGGGTTGAGGGTTTCAGGTTTAAGGTTCTAGGGTTCCGAGGGTTCTCAGGCTCCAGGGTTTAGGGTTTGGTTGGGCTTTGCGGGTTGAAGGTTTGGGTTTCTCGTCAGTTGTGTTTACCCACCGCCACCTCGATAAAAGAGCAAGGGTTTAGGGTTTAGGATTTAGGGATTCGGGTTCTACGGTTTAGGATTTAGCGTTAGGGTTTCTTGTTTAGGGTTTAGAATTTAGGGTTTAGGGTTCCGTTCCACAGAGCGCACAGGGCGAAACTTGGTCAAATCCACTTCGCTCTGCTCGACTCCAGGTTCGCAAACTTCCGCCAACGGCTTGCTGGTTCGCATCCTGGGGTTTTAACAAACCTGAGGCGGCAAACAAGCGAGCGCCCAGCAAGGCCAAGAACTGCGAGCAACCCCTCATCTCCCTTGATTGGGTGTGCCTCGACGTAGCTTAGACTCCGATAACGCACGCTTTTTGGGTTTTGTGGCACAAATGGACCTCTGGCTCCCCTAGGCACTGGAATGGCCCGGAACCTCCTATCCTATACGAGACTCGAAAGCCTTGCTCAGAAATCCCCGAGTCCGAAACCCAAAAAACCCAAAGTCTAAGCCCTAAGCCCTAAGCCCTAAGCCCTAAGCCCTAAACTCACTGAAAACCCCAGACCCCCAAGACCCACGCCAAATGACTTTGGGTCCAGGGTTCCTTTGGATTTGGGGCCGGGGCTGCTAAGCCTAAGCGATAAAAACCCCAAACTAACAAACTAGCCCTGAACTTACCCGAACTGAACGTCAGCCCCATCCGAAGCCATTTCCAGCCCGAGCCGCCACCAGTGGCAAACCCACTTCGGAGGGCAACTCCTCGGCCGCCAGCTGCAGCAGCGTCTCGAAGGCAGGCTTGTCCTCGGTCAAACGCTGAAGTCTAGGGCTTGGGCTTTGGGGTATTTTAGGTTTTAGGTTTAGGGTTTAGGGTTTAGGGGGGGTGTCCCCTGAAGGCAGGCTTGCCCTCAGAGGGTGTTAGCTCTGTTGCTTAGGCTGCTTAGGATTTGGGAGTTTAAGGTAAAAGGCGTTGGGTTTAGGGCTTTGGGTTTAGGGGAAGGCTTGTCCTCAGCGCCGTCAAAGCCCTAAATGTGGTTCGCGTTTAGCGGTTACGGTTTAGGGCGGAGGCATCCCTTGCTAGGCATCCGCAGAAAAAGCATCCTACTGTCTCGGGCTCTATATGGTGCAGCGCGGGTATTGGCTAGTCCTTTATTTGCTTGTCATGTGTGTTCGGTTGCTTGCTGATACTTGTACATGTATATTGCTATGTGTGCTCGGGTCCATTGACTTATTTGTTGATAGCTCTCTGAATACTGACATACTTGTTTGTGTTACAGAGCATTCCGTCGCGTTTGTCGCATTCTGTTCCATGACAATAATACGGTTGAGCGTACTCCGAAACGCGGCCGAGCAACCACCGTTGCCACCCTGAGCTGCAGGTGGTGTTCCGGTTAGTGGCAAAGACAATAATGTACGGGCCTTAATAATTAGCATAGGGTTTTGGGGTATACCATACTCACAATATAATAAGGAACCCCAATAATACAGACAATTCCTTAATAAGTAGAATAGGGTTTTGCGCTCCTTTATAGTACCATTGTAATAAGGAGCTCTAAGGACTAGTATTGGTAACTATTCAGGCTTCTATATTACTCTTGAAGTCAGCCAGAACTCGACAAAGTCTCAGCACCTCGCAATCAACTTTGGGGAAGCAAACAGCTCTCACAGAGGTGAGAGAGATTGGGACCCAAAACCCTCACACCTCAAACCGTAAATCGTAAACCATAAACTCAGAAACCTTGAACCCTAAATCTTAAACCAAAAACCTTAAACCCTAAATCCCTGAACCCTAAACCCTCTGGAGCATCCATACCTAGGTTCTTTGAGACCCGGGATCAGTCTAGGCCCCCCTGCTGCACAGAGCCGGCATCGCAGTCCACAGCGACACAAAGGACGATGCCATCCTTCCATGCGGTACCTGGTGGTGTTTAGGGTTTAGGGTTTAGCGTTTAGGGTTTCGGATCTATGGCTGGTTTAGGGCTTACGGTTGAGGGTTTCGGGGTTTAGGGCTTAGGACTTGCTTCGATACTGCGCCTTTTCTTGAGGTGTAGGGTTTCGAGTCTAGGATGTGGTGATCCTTGAGCACGAACGGGACGTTGTACGTAGGGATCGAAGTCAGGTGAGTAGATTCATCACTAAATACATCCCTCATCATACCCTAACTGCAACCCCGATCAAGGTATTTATAAGTATGCGTAGGTAATATTCCTTGCCAGACTTCTGGCTACTCACGAACCTTCCAACTAAAGTGGACTCCTCTAAAACCTAATCCCTGAAACTCGAAAGCCCTAAACTCTGAAGCCAAGTATACTTGTTTGTTGTTTAGGCTTTAGGGTGTAGGGCTTAGGAACCCTGAACCCTAAACCCTAAACCCTATACTTTGGGCTTAGGGCCGCGGCTTAAGGAGTGCGCGCCGAGGCTCTCTTCCCCTCGTCCTGCCCGCCGTGGCGGCAAGCGCCGTTATGGAGATAGGCCCAGGTCCCCAGATCCTCGCCCGGGGCGTAGTCATCATCCTCAGGGAGTTGCTGTGTGTCATGTTGAGAGGGTTTAGGGTTTGGGGTTTAGGGGTTTAGGGGTTTAGGGTTTAGGGTTTTGGGATTGGGGTATAGGGTTTAGGGTTCAGAAGGGCTAAGAGTAGTTAAAGGTCTAGGGTTTTACTCTTTAGGGCTTAAGGACTAAATTGGGGTTGCAGGGTTTAGCAGATAGCAGCATATGAAGAGGCATGTTTTGCGCTCTCCCGCTCGAGCACAGACTCAGCATGAAGCGTTGCAGACTGCTTTTTAGGGTTGAGGGCTTTCGGGGTTAAGGGTTCAGGGTTTGGGGCTTGGGGCCTAAAGGGGGTGTCTATGCATCGAGAGCTGGGGTAGCCGGGTAGCCGACACCCCAAACGGCGAACCCCAGCCCGAAAGCTGACACCCTGGACCCTCAATGCCCCCTATTATTGGGTTTAGGTTTTTTTCCGGGGGGGGTGGGTTAGGGTTTAGGGCTTAGGGTTTAGGGTTTAGGGATAAGGGGCCCCTATTGGATTTAGGGTTTAGGGTTTAAGCCTTAGGGTTTAGGGTTTAGGGTTTGGTGATACGGAGCCCCTGTTTCCGTTAAGGGCTCCTGAGGAAGGGACCCGAATTTTCATCAGACACGAAATCCCAAACCCAGAAGCCTGAAGACTCGCGTTCCTAGCTGGAAAACTTCGAAGGACGGTCCTTCAGACCCTGCTCCCCGCCTCTTCCAAAAGCATGCGAAGCAAAACTGTAGGAGCCCGGGGGTCTCTATATAATGGCCTTCATAGTTAGGATAGGGCTTGGGGGGTATATGATAATATACTTCTAATAAGGAGCCCCCAAAGCCCTATGCTAACTATTAAGGCTCAAACATGACTCTAAGTATGTAGGGACAGCGAACTATATAGGGATAGTTAAGGAATAGTAGCAGTCACAGTAGTAGCAGCAGCAGTAATAATACGAAGCCCTCATAAAGCCAGCTGAGGGTCCACGTTCTGCAGCGCAAGGCCTAGCAGCCCACCATCGCCCGACTTCTCCACGGTGACTTCGAAGTAGACCTTTTAATTTTGGGATTTTGGGGCTCCTTCAAGGGTTCCAATACGGGTTCTATACGAATTGTAAAGGAATCTATAAGATTCTTACAAGGGCTCTACAGTCACGAAGTAGACCGATTAGGATTTTAGATTCCCTTGCAGGGTTCCTGTGAGGGTTGCAGAAGGGCTGCCATAAAGGGTTCTGCACTAGGGTTTTGGGTTTGGGAAGTTGTAGTGTATAAGGCTTAGGCTTGCGCCGACCAGGCTTTAGAGTTGGTGATGCTGTCTTGGTTTGGGGTTGGGGTTTAGGGTTTAGGGTTTAGGGTTTGGGGTTCTTTCTGCTTGGGCGTTTTGGGCAAGCGGTTTTGAAATCTCGCGGCTGTTTGCGGCAGGTCGCCTTCTGCCTAAGCTAGCTCAAAAATGCCGACTTCCAAGGGAGATCCACACAGTAAGCGCTGCCCGACTTAACCGCAATATAGCATAACATCCATTTGGGTAGTTCTCTAAATTAGGGTCCCTTTTAGGGTCCCTTTAAGAAGGGTGCCGTACTATATTGGGGACCTCAAAAGGGACCCTAGTTTAGAGAACTACCCATTTGGAGGTTTGAGGGTTTCCTTTCCTCCGTCCATGGGTCGAGGGCTGGATGTTTGGTGGTGTAGGACTTTATTCCTCGGGTCTCCCTAAACCCCACATCCTAACACCTAAACTTTTAAGCCCTAAACCCTAAACCCAAACCCCTAAACTTTTAAGCCCTAAACCCGAACCCCTAACCCATAAACTTTTAAGCCCTAAACCCTAAACCCTAATCCCTAAACTTAAGCCCTAAACCCTAACCCCTAACCCCTAAACTTTTAAGCCCTAAACCCTAAACCCAAACCCCTAAAATTTTAAACCCTAAACCCTAAACCCTACAGCCATCGAAACCCCACCTTTCCGGAGAGCTTGAAACGGTCCAGCGCCGCAACCTCCATCTGTTTCCGCTCATCCTCGTCCATGTCCTGGCTAAGGATATCATTGAATTAACGCCTACTGCTTCCGTCTTAGGTCAAGACCTGTGCTGACCCTACTTGTTAGAGTCTAGTGACTCTAGCGAGTCTAGTGCTTTAGAGCTTTGAGGGATTTGAGGGTTTAGGGGGTTACTCTCATTGATAAGAACATGGGTGCATCATACACTGGCTCCGGTCCTTTTTAAAGGGGGCTCCATTGGGGTCCATGTTGGCTTCAAGGAGGATGGTCTTCATGATTGACCGGCTAGACATAAGATGATCATTTGTCCAATCAGACACTATGTGCTTTGCAACTTCATGAACAAGCATATCTAGCTGCACACACCCTAAACTTTAAACCCTAAACACTCCCGTTTCTCTACGGTCGGGGCCTGAAGCCTGGAGCTTTTAGGCGCCAGGTTTCTCAAAGGGCTCCCCAGCGGATCACCGCTTTAAAAACCCTTAGGGTTTAGGGTTTAGGGTTCCTTCTACAAGGGTTGCTGTCTGTGATGGGTTCCTTTAAGGGTTCTAGAAGGGCTCAGTGCATAATGGGTTCCTTTAAGGGTTCTATAAGGGTTCATTGCGTAATGGGCTCCTCTAAGGGTTCTGCAAGGGTTTCAGGCTGCAGGGTCTAGAGCTTGCTCGGGTTCAGCTTTTTGTCGTGCGCTTCACTTCATATCCTTGCTCTCCACGTGCTGGTGGTAGTAGTAGTCGTACTACTACTACT